TGGTGCTGCCAGGAGGGGTGTCCTGGAAAAGCGCCCTGCTCTGTGGTGGTGCTGGTTCTGCTGGTGTCCTCCCGAAGCTGCTCAGGCCTGCCGGTCCTTCACCGTGGTGTTTCTCTGTAGCAGTGCTTTCAGCTTCCTTTTGGCTGCTTTTGGGGTTGGATCTTTTCTGGCTCTGGGGTGTTAGCAGCTAGTGTGGGAGCAGGAATTTTTCCCTGGTCAGTGTCACTTATGGGCTGAAAACCCATGGTTCTCCTGTGTAGGTCTCTGGTGTGGGAAGGTGACTGGAGGGCAGATGTTTTCATGGCCTCATTGAAAGAGATGGACAGAGGCAACTCTGTGAAGCTTGTCCTGACTGTCAATGGACAGGTAAAAGAACTGACATCCTCCTTTCTTCCTACCCTGGGTTACAAATGTTGCCACTTCTGAGAACTTTCTCTCCCATCCTCTCCTTTTCCTTCTCTTTGCTACTCGAAGGCAGAGCTGCCTCACATGGATCTGGTAATGCACATCTCTGCTGAGCCCCAACCCTCTGTGATGCTCCAGGCCTATGCCCTGAACACAGCTTTGCCAGAACACCTCGTGCCACAGGAGATGGGCAGCAGAGAGCAGTTCAGTTCCAGTTCCGCTCTCTCCTGGGTCTATGGTACTTAACACAATTGTTTTACCTTGTGCTGAAGCCCCTCTCGGTGCCTGACTTTGCTTTTCTTTGTTTATTCTGTTGTGCTGGAGATGAAAGCTGGGCTATTCCCTTGCAGGGAATCTGTCCCTTGCAAGACATCTTTTTGCTCACCCTTTGTGGATGGAGGCCAGCACACTTGGTGTGTCCTTTTATCCTGTCACTCTTTCTGCTGCAGCTGCTCCGAGGTGTCTCCAGCAGTACGCCCGCCCGCCCCTTCCTCATCCCAGAGACCACCCAGTCACCAGTGCTCCCAGCAGATGATATGCCCCTTGGCCAGGACCTGGAGGATCCCACTGTGGTATGTGTATCCTGGAGCTTCCCTCTTGTTATTTCACCCTCTCCTTAGTATCTTCTCTGTCACTGGTAGCTGCTCAGTTGATGTCTAGTGGAAACATTTGCTGCCACTCTCTTACCAGAGACCTGGCTGAGCAAGCTTTGGAGCTGAAGATTTACTTGTGCTAAAAAAAGTGATAGTCTCCATTGAAATGCCTTTGGAAGGGCTGAATTTAACAGCCCTTGGTGGGTTCACTGGTCAGCCTGGTTACTCCTAGCACATGTGGCCTTTCTTCCTTTCCAGTTGCCTGGTGCTAGCTGTGCCCATCACACCCGCAGTCTGGACGTGGACCACTGGGCATACAGCAGCAGGTAGCTGCATCGCTCAGCATGTATTTGGCAGCTGGCCCTGTTGACGTGCTGGCCCTTAAGACTCAACGGGAAGATGAGCCTGAAAACAGTCACCACATGAAACTAATCTCTGGCTCAGTAACAGACAACTCACAGTAGCCTGAGGTCTTTTTCTTCAGGGCTGATTTGACTGGGACTCTGTCACAGGTTAAGAGTCAGAGCTCAGAAGTGACTTCTAGAGCATCCAGGCCTGGGAGGAAGGATGTCCACCCACCACTGAGGACCTTGATGGTACCCTGTGCCCTGAAGCCACCATCTGGCAAGGTGGAACCCAGTGAGGCCTGGAGGAAGAGTCCTGTCCACCCCAAGAAGCCCAGGAAAGTTTTGTTTGAACCCACAGCATCTGAGAGAGATCTCGATGAAGAAGGTAACTCTGGCAGTCTCCAGGTTTATTTTACAGGTCTTGTCTGAACAATCTGTCAATGCTGCTGGGCAACAACTTCCCAGTCCCTTTCTCTGTGTACCTCCAAGGCAAGATGGGCTTCTCTGTCTTAGCTTGCGAAATACGGAGAACTGCTCCTTAGTCCTGGATAAACTGCTTGATACATTTTGCCTATTGGGAAAAGGCCAGAACTAGAACATGGAAATAGAACATGGGATGCTCTTAGTGCTAACACTCTGTACCATAGCGTAATCCGCCTATCTCTTCATATGAATAAAAGTGCTTTATAAGTGAAGGCAAGTATCCTTAGCCTTGTTTCACAAAAGAGGAAATTGAGCCACAAGAAAGTTACCTGCTGTGACATTCTGTAACCTCTCCATTAGTCTGTTTGTTCCCCTACTAACAGCATACCACTTGGTCCACACAAGACATGGGTTATTATTAAAGTATAGAGAATATGGAAAGGAATATATGTCTAATAGTGAGAAGGCAGCTGCCAAGGGGTTTGGAAACAAAACCTTTAGCTTCTGGAGCATGAATTCCCAGTCACCTCCAGGGTGTGACTAAGTTTCTGTGTAAATGTTGGACAATAATGCAGTGGTCCCTATGTGAAGTGACGTTTTGGCACTTGGCTTGCTTCTCACAAAGGCAAATACAGCTCCATCATAAAGTTGCTTCCACTGTAGGCCGTGTGAGAAAGGAGGAAATGAGCTTCCATTAGAGGGGTAAAATGCAATGGTGAGAGCGTGATGGCAGTCAAAGGAAGTGTGCCCTGCTCATACCTGTCATTTCTTCTGATGAGACTTACTTCAGGATTCTTGGTCTTGCATCTTGTTTGTTGAAATGAGGTAGCTTTGTGCTGGAGGAAGGAAAACCAAAGGGCTCTTAAACCATGGAGCTGAGCACTTTCAGGGTATGTTTGCTGGTTTCTTTCTTTATGGGGTCATCTCTGTGTTTTCTCTGCAGATCTGGCGGTGGAGGAGTTGCATGGTGAGGATCTGGTTCCTAGACCCTGGTTTGTCTTTTCAGCCACTTGGTGATGCCATTCCCTTTAATGTCACAGGTCTCTGCCACTTCATCCTTTATCTCCCCACTGATCAAGAATAACAAGTAGGTTGTGTGTATATACTGTTCCTCCCCATGCAATTGCCCTCAGTATAGGTGCTTCCAGTACTGTCAGGCTCTCTAATACGCTTCTGTAGCCCCTCTGAATCTCAGGCACACCTCTTGGTGCATAGCCCTTTGAGGCAAAGGGTAAGATGTGGAATAGACTTTGATTAAAAACTATTTTTTAGCTTGCTCAGCCAACCACAGGGACCCGGGAGAGGAAAGGAGGAGGAACAGAGCAGTATGAGTATCTCTGGAAGCAGCTCCAGGCTTCTGATTGCTGTATTTTAGGCAATAGCCCTCCCTCACAAGGAGTAACACAGGGGGACAGCACAACTGGGATATCCCTTCTTGGGATGGATAATCAACGGGGGGCATTCAAGCCTGTCTGAAGTGGCAGCCTGTTTGCATCCTCCAGCCAGCCAGCCGCTTTGCTGGCTCCCTCTGCTAACAGTCTAGCCTGTTATAGCAATTATTCCCCAAAGCCAACAGTAAAGCTTCCTCAGGGAGCTGTCTCTTGCCACCCCAGAAGAAAGGGACCTGGGACCCTTGCCTTCCCATTTCTCTCCTCTGAGCCTTTAGCTGCCTTGTTCTCCCCACCAGGGAAGGGAACTGGGGGTGTCCTGTCTGACTCTGCTCACAGCCCTGTGCTCTCCCCTCTCCAGGCAGTCCCAGCCCACGGTGGTGCCATGCCATGTGTCTCAGTGACCTGGGGACAGCTGTTCTGATCGGTGGAGAAGGTGTTGATCAGCAGTCCTGCAAGGATGCACTCTGGAAGCTGGAAATTGGTGGTATGGGGTACTCAGGGGTCTGTGCTTGGTGGTGGGGGGGATAGCAAAGGTGTCACATCTCCTGTCATGGTCACCAGGCTGAGCTGACAGTGTGGGTTGCCATGAGAGGCTGTGCGGTTGTATGTGAGAGCCCTCCAGGAGCTAAGGTGTAAGTTCTGGAAAGAACTGTGTGAGTTTTAAGGAGTAAAAGCAACAGCCTTTGCAGTCTGTGTGTGATGACTGGTGGGAAAGTGTGAGATACAATTCCAGTGCCTTGCAGCTTTATGCACCTCACCGATCCTCTCTTCTACCTTACCATTCCCCACCTAGTTAGCGTTGCCTTCTTTATCAGTCCCCTCTAGCTCTGAATCAAAAGAGAAGAGGAGATGAAGGGATCAAGGTTTTCAGTAAAGATTTTATGACATATTCTTTAAAACTGGAGAAATTGAGAGCATTTTTGAACTCCCACACCATCTGTCTGGTGTTGCTCCCACAGACAGTGATTTCTGGCTTCCAGTGGGTTTCCAGCTACAAAACACCATGCCATTGTGCTTGCATGGTCACACAGCTACCTACGACCCAGACACCAAGCGTATCTACGTCTTTGGGGGCATAAGGGAGGACAAAGACTACAGCAGCATCTACATTCTGGACACAGTCACCTGGAAATGGCTCCTCGTGGCTGTAAGTACTGCAGCTCTTCCAAGACAGAAGCACAGGAGAGGGGCTGAACCGTATCCTTATTGCAGCAGTCTTGGTCTACTGTTGCTGCAGGTTGTCTGAGCTGCTCAGTTGTGACTGACAGATATAAGAAGGCTATGTTGAAAGGCCACAAGCTTGGCAGAAACCAGGAGCTGTGCCCACAATGAATGAAGCACGGTGAAACAATGGTTGCTGCAGACTGCTGTGTTTGATCGAGGTTGTGGGTGGGAGGTACTGTACAAGCAGCAGAGGGAAATGGCCTCTCATTTTATATGGCGCTGTTGAGAGCTGTGCTGGGTGCTCAGGTGAAGAGTTGGTCCTCTCAAATCAGTGACTGCTCTGAGCTCTTTAGTTGGTTGTCATGTCCTTGCAGAGGGCCCTGTCAGCAATGGATACTCTTCCTGACAAAGTCACAAGATGGCTTTTACAGAATAACCCTGGATGAGATCTTTCTGTTCTCTGTAATCTTCTGAGGAAGCTGGGGTAGGAGGTTGACTTCCTTCTCTCATCAGAGCATTCTGGTAGAGCAGAGTATGCAAAGGATGTACTATCTGCTTGTTTGGCAAAGATCTGGCTGGGGAGCCAATAAAGTGAAAATTGAGACTTGTCAAACTCGCTGTATGATGTGGGTCCCTTTCCTATGGGTCATGCAGCAAATAAGGCACTTCTCGTAACAAAAGTATGTTGAACTTTTTCCAGGCTAAAGGGAGGCTGCCAGTGCTCACCTACCACAGTGCAACTATCTACCGCAAGGAGCTCTTTGTTTTTGGAGGGACTTTCCCCAAAAAGGCATCACTGGCAGTTGGACCCTGCAGCAATGTTCTCTATGTCTTCAATCCAGAACATGAAATTTGGTACCAGCCCATCTCAGAAGGGGAGAAGCCTCTGCCTAGGCTTGGGTGAGAGTGCTCTTATTCCAGCCCTCCAAAATAGAGCAGGAAACCTCTGCTCACTCTCCCTCCCACCTCAGTGTAATTTCCTAAACATTAGGCCATTGTCCTCTACCGTATGCTCCTTAATACTGGGCTATGATTTGAGCAATGTGACTCCCAGCACCTCCTGTTGTGAATCCTGATGGGATTCTGTCCTTGGGCTGCAGTGGCTGGGAGTAGAGGCAGGTGTAGCCTGAAGCTGTGGCAACCCAATAGCAGAAGCCAAGGCTGAAATGTCAGTTTGGGATCTTGGCTGAAGATACTTGGTTCACTTGCTGCTTCTCTTCCCAGGCATTCAGCTACTCTCCTGAAGAACAAGCTGCTGATTTTTGGGGGTCGGAGGGCTTCTCTCTACCTCAGTGACATGCACATCCTGGACCTGGGTAAGAAAGCCTGTGCCAGGTGGATGCCTTGGGAAGATCTGTTCTAAGGCAGGGAGTGGGGAATGTGGCATGCTCAATGGGAAGGCAGCATTAATGTTATAAAAACCCCTGACTAGGCAATGGAGATGGGAAACTATGGGGTAAAAAAACTCTTTCTGGGGTAAGAGGCAAGGGAATGGGGAAAAATGAGACCACTTTTTTGGAAGAAGCTGGGTAACAGAGAATGCAGGTTGCTGATGTGGCAGAGTATGGAAGTTTTGGGCTAGTTATGAGGCTGAGATTTTTGGACATTTCACCTGCCTTTCCCCTGGCTGTCAGGTTTCATGGAGTACACACGAGTCCCCCTCCTCGCTGGACAGCCTTCCGCACGCTGGTAAGATCCTGTTGCAGAGCCAGCAGCCATCTTCTTCCTCTGTCCTTCCTCTTTGAAGCTGGGTTTGAACAGTGCTTGTGATCAGACCCAGCTGCATATCTCATACAGTGGATGGCTCCTCTGCTGTGGCACCAGAAATTCCTGTGCTGTCCTAGCTGGTGCCTGTCAGGTGGGGGTGGTACAGACCCCTTAGTCTCCCTGGAAATCGGCCTCTCAGGCTCAGGGAAGTTTTCTGCCATGTGCTGATGAACTGTATTGCCTGCTGTTTGGTCTCCACAGTACCTGGAGTACAGCAGACACACAGAGAGGGAGAAACTCTTGTGCCAGGACTATGCTGTTCCTAAAGGGACCCTATTGCCCACTAGAACAATAACCTAAGTCAGACTAAAGCCCAGCTAGCCTGCTGTCTCACTCCACAGAGCAAAACAGAAGAGTTTTGATAGCTCCTCTGAGATACTGAGGTGCTTTTCAGGCCTCATTATGGCCTGACCTGCAGAGGCAGACAGACAGCTCAGTTATTCATCACGTCAGGGCAGAAGTGAAGCAGAAGTTAACTTCCATTCTGTAGGTTAAGCCCCCAGCCTCCTGCTGGTCTGCCCACCCCTGCCCATTGCTGGCTGGGGCAACCCCAGCAGGTTTGGCTGTAGTCACCTTTTGGCTTTACTTTGGTCACAGTTTTCACGCAGCTCTAGCTGTGTCGGACCAAAAGGTTCTGATCAGTGGAGGCTGCAATGCCAAGGGAGCCCTGCAGGATGCCTTTGTCTTCCACCTAGGTGAGTGACTCTCCCTCATGGTTTCCATAGCTGAAGGTGACTGCTGGGCTGCAGTGGTGTTTCTGAACACCTAGTCTGGTCCATTTGTTTCATCCTGTGCACTAGGAGTGGGTTTGTCAGCACTGATAGCCACTTTCTACTTCAGATACTCTATCATGGAGCACGGTGATCCACCACGACCTCTGCTCTGTGCCCCGAGCTGGCCACACATTGCTTGACCTGATGCCTGCCCACCTGATGGATGTGAACAAGGAGAACAAAGAGGAGCGTGACTGGCACACGGTGTTGGTCTTTGGGGGCTCCAACTGTGCTGGGACCTTTTACAACAGCACAGTCAAGATCCAGCTGGACCTAGGATAATGCACAATACTCAGAATGAGCCTGGAAGAGCAAGGGCTCTTCACCAGCCTCAGTACAGACATGGATGGCAATAAATGAGTCCAAGCAGTGTGACAGTCCAAGTATCTACCTGTAGGTGAATGCCACCTTGACCCAAGAGATCCTGGGTTTGTAAAGGCTTTCTGAAGGCCACAGGTGTTGCCCCTTTGGGCAGCTGATATATAGCTTCATTTCCCTGGCTCAGTACTTGGGCTTAGGTGCCAAAACATTCAGTGGGATCTGGGCTAAGCCTGCACAGCAACACAGTCATGGGCTTATGAGTTTCCCTTCTTGCCCTACAGATTTCTGGGCTGGAATTCTCAGGGTTCTTTCATCTCTGAAGGTGACTCAGGTATTGTATTTCATTTGAGATGAGTGGAACAGGATTTACTCCTGCTGCTTGGAAGTGAAAATACAGGCATGGTTCTGGTTTGTAGAGAATCTGGGTTGGGATTCCCTTGGGAAATAGTCTGCAGCTGAGGACTGGGAAAACACCTAGAGTGGTGTCTGAGGACAGGAAGAGGAAGAGAACGCCATCATTTTCAGTGTATGGGAATGAGCTGGTTGTGTCTTGCTGACCATGGCACAACCACCTAGCTTTGCTCTAGACAGAACTTTATTATAAATTCTGCAAGACTGCTGCTAGACATAAGGAAGAGGCACAAACCAGCTGTCCCGGGTAGTAGTTCTCTTGTCATTGCAAGGGGTGGCAGAGTTGCTGACTATTGTCTCTTGAAAGACCCGTGGCACCCAACAAGGGTTGGGATTAAGCTGTCTTCTGTCGGACACTAGCTCTTACTGTTTATATCCATGGCTCTGATAATTATGCCATAGCTCTGAGGCAGCTCCAGGGACAAGCAGGCCTGCTAATTAGTAGCACACTGGGTACACTGGTTCCTTGATGCTCTATCTGTAGGTGGTAGAAAGAAGCCCCTGTGAGGAGTCCAGAATTGGCTCAATGTCTCAGTTGTTTGTGGCCACATTCCCCAACCCAAAGCCATACAAAGTGGACTTCTGATAATTATGGATGCTTCTGCTTTAATCTGCTTCATGGGGATACATCAGATAGAAAAAAACATAGCAGTAGCTGCAAGTTTTCCAGTACAGTCATAGCTCCTGTAAGTCATCCAGGCTACTTCCAGGTCCTCTGTCCTTCCCATCTACAGGAAAGTGAGACAATATCCTGCTGTCACTGAAGTCCTACTCAAGCTGTACCTGCTGTCCTCTTTGACTCTCCAGTTTATTTGATTTACTGAGTAGAAGGCTTCAAGCTCGCAACTCTGCAGGAGTATCTGGCTGCTGGGATGGGTGGCTTACTTTGAATGCCTCTAACTCCAGGAGAGCTTTGTTTATTCTGGTTATTGTGGGATATGGACCCATGTCCACTTTGAATCTGAAAAAGGAAAAGAATTTGTGAGGTACTCTTGAGTCAGACAGCCAGTGCAACAGTGAGCAGAAGGGCAGAGCAGCGTGCTATGCCTGCCCAGTATGGGAGAATCTCACAGCCTGGGGTACTTTTGCATTAAGAGAAAAGGTTCATCCTTGTAGGTTTAAAAACAAATGCTAGAGAAAAGGTTAGTTCTTCTGTTGTTGCTGGGCTTTTATATAGTGTGCAGCACAGGGTAAGAAGGCACTGTGCTTTTCCTGGGAATCATATAGCCACTACTTGCATAGGTTTAAGGATTTCAACAAACATAGATTAATCTTTTCCCCCATGTGCAATGTAAATATAGGGAAAATAGGGAGAGAGGACGTGGAGTGTGGGCAACCTTAGCTTTTCTAAGGACATAGATCAGGTTTCCTCCAGGGGCTTCTGAGAAGAAAGCCCAGCTCCTTATTTCCAAGAGCTTCCAAAAGAGATGGTATTTGTGAAATTGGAAAATGAGTACAAAGAGGAATCCATAACTGGATAGGGAAACAGGAGGGATGCTTTCCTAAAAGGCACAAGGAGCAGCAGCAAGTAAGCTCTGACAACCCAACACAAGGAGGAGGTGCCCTTGCAGAGCACCTCAAGCTTAGCCTTAATTACCTTTCAGCATTGTAAACTTGAGGCACCAGGCACAGATCAGCCATGGAAACCTGCAAATGTAGCAGAAAAAGGGTAAGAGCTCAGAGCCTTACCCTTTTTCTCAGAGCCTGTCCCATCATCCTTCACTGTGGTGGCAGGCTTGGACAGCAGGATTGAAATTATTTTATCAGCTAGTACAGAGGAGTTGTGACAACAATCCCGTTCTTTAATCCAGCATAAATAATATGACAACTGTACAAGGAAAGGAACTTCATAGGAGTCACTAGTAGAAGAAGCCATCAGCCTTTAGGGAGCTTCATATTTACCAGCTGATCACCATGACCTTAAGGACACAGTGCTTCTATGATAACTGCCTCTGAGCAAACAAGTCTCCTGGCAAACTGCAGAGGGAGGTGATGGAGGGAGGGGGAGTTTATGTGGCTGGGAAAATTTGAGTAAATTTTGCTTGTTTGCATTGCAGGAGTATCAAGCAGCTCCTGCCAATGTCAAGACCTGGTATGTGATAGGGCCTCTGCACACAGGCTCAGGGACTTGCAATCTGAAACGGAGACTCAAGGACAATACAGCTACCTGCCTGTCTGCACAGAGGCAGCTGCTCCCACCCATCTTCCCAGGCCACAAAGCTATGGGTGCCTTTCAGAGTGCACGGTGTTCTTGTAACTAGCCTTTGCCCACTCAGGGTTCCGGTTCCATAAAGCTCCTACTGGACAATCCTCTGCATCACAGGAACCTTCCTTTTTTTTCCAGGCTTTTATAGGAAAGGTCCAACTGCCTGCCAAACAGGACTACTAAACAGAAGAGGCCTGAGTGGCCTCTAGCTTGGTAAGGGTCAGAACAGCTTGTATGTGAGCTCTCTGAAATCTCTTCATCCCATTTTAACATGGACTGAGCAGAAAAACACAATACCACTTGGTTAAAGGTTCCACAGAGCAGAGCTAAGAACTGAACCTGTGTTTCCTGAGCCAAGTATTGCCCCTATATCAGAACACTTTGAACTCCAAATCTCTTAAAGATTAAATATAATTTAATGTATATATAATATATATATATATTAAATTGAATATATTTATATATTCCACATGCTGCAGTAGCAACCAGATCCTAGATATAGCTGCAGAAGCTGGACATCAACAGGTTATAGGCAGGGACAAGTAATCATCTCCGTAACTATTTGCAAGTCAGTAATTGCCTAAGTAGGATCCATGCAGCCGTTCTTATGGTGAAGGCACTGCTTGTAACTCCAGGCACAGGGTGGGATTGTGCTGTGTCTCCACAACTAATTTCCTTTCCTATTTTATAGAATATACTAGGGTTTTCAGTCCTCCAATATTACATAACACTCTCAGATACTTACTTCATCCCCCATGCAGTAGCGCCCAGCAGTGTGCTGCAGAATCTGCTCCAGTGCTGCCAAGAGAGGTGGTACACTGGAGTGAGGCATTGGAAACTCATTTGAAAGGGACACCAAAGACTTCCTAGACTGGGAATTATGAACAAAGGCATTTTGACCCTGAGCTGAATATGAGAAAGGAGCAATTTGGGACAGAATCTCTAAGGAACAGAAATCTTACAATGGCATAGTTATACAAGTCTTTAGGGTCCTTTAGCCCTTTGGGACTCAGGCTGGTTTCGGCAATTCACCTGAAATACTAAGAGGACAATGTAGAAACATGTGAGAGTGGGAAGGAGAAAAATGCAAAGGTCCAGTCAGCTTGTGTCTGTCCAGAAGTGAAGATAAGCCTACTATTCCAGCACATGGGGGAAAGGGTTTTGAGGAAACAAAAAGCACTGTATTTCTCCCAGGGAGGTAAAGAAATACTCTGCTACTTGCTAGAGTCTATGGGAGTTTGCTGTCAAATGTATTTTGTCTGATGACAAAAGCGTATCAATATAGACTGATAGAAGTTTAAAGCAAAAGGCACTAGTTTGGGAGCAGCTGGGTGGAAAGAAGTGCTGTCAGCCCTCATGCATGAGGGTTAATCAACTGCTGCAGTGTACAGGATGCCCTCAGGCTTTCCCTCTTCTATGCACAGCAGTGGAAGTGCACTGTGTACAGTACATTTCCTCTGAGACCCTGGAGTGCTACCAACAGGGCAGGACCCCAACCCACCAGCCTAGGGAGATCTGTTGTTCTGCTTGAGGAGAAAAGTAGGACCCCAGTGGCACAGAGTTTTGAAAGGTCAGTTGAAGTGCTGATCATTTGGGATGTGGGACACACCTTGGAAGCCAGACGTGATGCAGTTCTGAGCCCATTCCATTTTTTTCTCCCCCATTTGTTTCAGGATGCTCAGGTTCTGTGAAGGCAAGTGATCTCCAGGTTAGATTGACTGCCGCTGGCTGGATCTTACCCACTACCTCATCCAGTGGAGGAGAGGGTGCCAAGCCTGAACCCCCAGCCTGAGTTCAGCCTGCTGGGTCACCCCTGACCTAGCCCTCACTGAACCACGCACCCTGCTGTATCTCTCTCCTGGGACTGTCCTTCTGTAACAGCTACCAGGTTTTGCCTTTCCCTCTGCCCTTTGGGTTACTCAGTTGTTGTCTTCCTAAAACATACCAGACCCTGCAGTGAAACTGCATGGGTTCAGCTGTTTCTGGAAACAACCCTGGGCTGCTATAGGATTTTCTTTGTAGGAAATACTGTATTGCTGCCATTGGCAGACAGGAAGAGGCTAAGCAGAGATTTCATTTGCTAACACACAGTCTTAAAGTCTGTCACTCTATTGGCTGTCAGCAACTTAAAAAGACTGAACTTTTCAGAGATACAAACTCCTGGAAACCCATCCTGGTTTTCTCATTTGCATGGATATTACAAGGCAATACCTGAAGTGGCTGAATGCCAGAAACAATGTGATCTGTGATCATTCTGACTTGGGCTCTCTTCTTTGGATCTTGGGGCAGGAGCCTGGGGTTAGGACGAGTGTCTTCTAGGTAATGAATTATAGCTAGCTGTAATGAACAAAGAGATAAGGGGATGTTATTGGAGAGACAAGGAAAAGTTCACATCCTGAACATACAGAAAAGGGGAGCTGATCCAAGAGAATAGAACAGCTTTTGAATGAAGTTTGTTACCAATCCAAGCAACAGAGTATCCCCTTCCATGCCTGCTTGGAACCTTGTTGTCATTTAGCCCATTTGTAATTTCAGGCAAACCCTGGCACAGCCATGTAAATCAGACTACGAAGTGTTCAGTGAAAGGTGGAGTGACGAACCAAAGCTGAACTGACCATAACTCCTTGACAGCAGTTTCCCAGCAGAGGCTATGTGCTATTTCTGCCCCAAAGTGAGACTGTTTATCATAAATGCCATCTCTTTTCTAATGCACAGATGAGAGCTCTGGGGGAAGAGATGGGGCAAAGCCATTCCCTCCAGACTGGCAGCAGGCTGGAGTGAGTGCTTAACAGGGATGTGGCTGGTAACTCACCGACTGAGAAAGGGTGATGCCATCAATTTTCAAGGCTGGGACTTGGTGCATTGGATTCACTGCCTTGAATTCAGCAGAAAACTGTGGAAACAAACCTGGGATTACTCTCTTGCAACAAGAAATTCTTCTTCCTTGTTTTCTTCCCCTAGGACCCAGTTACCAAATTATTTTATTTTTTCACCTGGCTTTTCCCTCTACCTCAGTACTAATATTTGCAGTAAGTTATGCCGAACTATTAGCCTACAGCAAGCTCTCACTGGGGCTCAGGGATCACTACATCCAAGGCCAGACTGCCTTACTTCTTGATAAACCATCAAGACAAAGCCCGGGATGGGTAGTACTGCAGCAGCATCGCTATTACTGTTCTAGTTCTCCAACTCTGTCTTAGCCCATACTGGCAGATGGAGCCACTACTAGGTGCACAACTCCCACCTAAGGCCCCCTGAACAAATCTTCAGTGAAGATCTCTTCTGGCAACCCACCCCTTCCTCCAGCAGGCCCTTTGCAGCCCCTTGCTATATCATTTAGCATCTTTTGGACACACCACCACATCCACACACACTTTCTGGTGTTAACTGAGTGAGGTTGAACCTGTGTTTAAACTGCAGTGCAGCTTCTCTGAAGTCTGTGTACCAGACATGTTCAGTTATATCACGCTAACCAGGAGCAAAAGATCTTCATCCTTATGAAATTCAGTCACAGATGTTTAAGAGAGGATAAGACCTTTAGTCTCCTGTAGTCATTTCCCTCTATCCTGCATGCCAGGGAATACGAGTTTAAAGCAACTATTAATTACAGAGAAATAGTGAGGAATTCAGTGACTTTGCCTGTGAAGTTTCTAGTACTGATCCCAATTCTCCTAATAATCCCAAAGTTCAGTAGCCCTGGAGAGAGCAATGGTAGCTGTACCCTTACCTGCTGTCCCCCATCCTTCAGGAGGTTCACTGGCACCACGTCATAAGCAATCCCTTTCAGAGCCAGTGCTAGGGAGAACAGAGTGTACAGCTTCAGACAGGCACAGGGAGACCAGATTCATTGCTAGTGGGCTCAGGGAAACGTTGCCATCTCAATTTGAAAAAAAGAATGGCTTTAAAACCAAAAAAGACCCTATCCCTCAAGAAAGGTGGCCTTAGTTGACCGAGAAGATAGTGCTCTGGCAAAAAAAGGATGAAAGCACTACAGATCATCCTGGCCAAAACATTGCATTATTCAAAATAAGCTTTGCCACTTGCAGCACAGCCCCTCCTGACAGGGCTTATACAGGGCAGGGGAGCCTGTGCTCACCTGAAAATCTTTGCTTAAGACTCTCTCAGTCCAAGTAGGGACCATTTCCAAGATGGGAATGCTTAGCTCTGCTTAGCTCTCAAGACCTGGGCAGACCAGAGTCTGAGGCAGTAAGGGTGTAGAAACAGAGTGTAGGGTCCTTCCGGATAATGTGAAAGAAACAGCCACTGGCATCACGTCAGCTTTACAAAGGGAGTAATTCCTTCTGACAGGTAGCTGCAGGCTGAGTGAAGCCCTCCTGTCTGTTCCTCTCCCCTCAGCTCCATGTAGGCTGTGGTATTCCCTTCCCTCCCACTCCAGAGAAGGGAGGAGGGGGGGGAATTCCTCACTGTTCCAGGATCATGTTTGCTGATTTCTCTCTCTTAATAAGTGACTAATTAACTGGCTTAGTGAAGGAGAGGAGACAATAAAACAGAGATCAGCACTGGAACTTACCAATTCTCACTCTCCAAGAGCAGGAACTTCGGAAATAGCTATAAAGTATCGGCTGAGAAAAGAAAGACAGATAAAGTGGTTATATGGTGGAAACACCAGAGTATTGTAAGGAGAACAATGCATGAACAGAAAGCACTTCAGGAACTGTAAGACAGGACAAAGCAAGGTTTCAGGGAGAGGGCTCCTTTCTGAAAGTGACAGTTCCTGTTTTGGGTACATCAAAGACGGGTAGTGTCACTGTCTTTCACGCTGGCCCTCTGAATATTTAGTTTCACCTGATGTTTCCAGCAATGCAGAAGTGACCTTAAAATTATCCCCTACAAAGCTTCCCTCTTTGTCCCTATCAGCTACTGCTAACTTTTATCCCATCTTGGATTTTTTAAAGCAAATTCCCCATTGATTATGCCAAGCACCTGCACTGGGTATTTGTGTGGCATGAAATGGCTTTTCCAGCCATGCAGGGCAGGGCAAAGCTTCTTTCCAAATAAGAGCTGCTGTTGTTCCAGATGAATGACAAGTTCTGTACCTGAACTCCAGCACTGAGGCAGCTTTCATGGACCCTTCCACCCCGTCCAAGCTCTCACCTTTTCAGATGCCATGGTCAGTGTGTGCAATCTACTCCAGGAAATAAAAACAACCTCTTCACTTTCTCTTTTAACTCAGCTGGGATGGGGGAAGGCTTCTCTCCTAAAGCCAATGAGAAAAGGACTATGCCCCTGAATCTGTGCCCAGGGCATGGAAACCAGCCACTCAGATTCAATCCTGAGTGACTGCAGTGAGCCGCATCCGTGTCCCCACGTGCTGTGCTGCAGCCCCAGCCCTGACAGCTGAACCACTAACCAGCTTTGAGGTTGGAAGCGCATTTAGGAACCATCCTTACTTCTCTAGCTTTTTGTCCAGAAATAAATATCTGGAGAGCCTGCCAGGCTCTCAGCATTTGCTAATGCAGAAAGATAGCCCTGGGGAACAAACCAAGGAAACTGAAGCCACGTGCAGAATTCCTGTTTCAGTAGGGAATGACTGCCAGCTCCCTGAACAGGGGCTGCCTTTGCAGGGACGTCCCTCAGGGTCCTCCTGTAGCCTTCCTCAGTGCTGAGGGTTTTCTACGTTGCATGCCCAGGAGAGGCTGCTGCTCTGCTCCTGGGCCAACTTTGTGCAAAATATGAAGCTCACTTTTTTGTGTTAGTCTTTTCTTTCCATGCAGGAAATTGGTACTCATGTATGTCTCTAAATAAACCTGCAATCATGTCTCTCCTTCCTTCCACAGATCCCATGGCATGCCAAGGATCTCTGTCTCCACCCTCTCAAAATGCATAGAAATTATATGAGAGACTGACAGCAAGGCAGAAGAAGGCAGGGATTTGCTCACTGACACACAATCTGTCAACAGAAAACCAGAGAGACCCCAAGGATCTCTGTGCTCTAGTCCTCTCTGTAAACTCAATGCTTCTCTTGCGGTTCAGGTTGGTTCAAATAACTTTAAATGACGTATGCATTTGGTTAAATTACTCTAGTCAAAGTTTACCAGAGAAATGGTTTATAAGTCAGGAGGGAAGTGATGGCAGTATTGGCAACACTTTTGTGGACAAAGTATATACTGATTTTCTTAGATTCTCTGCTTCTGGAATCAGAGCATTAGAAATCTCAGCTACGTTTTTTTTCAAATGTCTAGCCTGCTGGGTTGTAGGGCAAGAAACAGAAACTATGACTTCAAAAGGTAAACATACATTGAGTATTCATGACATGCTCTTTTTACTTGTTTTTCCTGAGGACCTTGCTGATTATTTTTTGGCTCAGAAATTCATGTCCTTCACCACATCTCTTCTGGACTCTGGCCTCTCAGCTGGCAGAGACATTTCTCCTGATCCTCTCTACAGATCTTTGTTGTTTTTGCAGCCTGTGCTATTATTTGTAATAAATTGTGCTAAGATAATTGCTTCACTATAATTTCAAGGCCCTGGGGAATTTCACCAAAAAGAACATGGAAAACAAGCCATCCCTCAGCTGGGAACTGTGTCTCCAGAGGTTCACACTATTTTGCTCCCAGTGGCAAGGCAGATCACAGGCAAAACAATCAGCTAAGTAAAGACTAGAGACACAGTCCAGTGGACAGGTCCCAGAGTGACATTATATTTAATCTTCCTCAGAGAAGGATCTGAGCATGGGCCAGAGGAATGGCAGGGAAGAACTGCCTTCATTTACAGCCCCGTGGGGTACAATCCCTACAAGCTGCAGGTTAGTCCGACTGGAGCTGGGAGGATAGCAAGGGGACAATTGCTTCATGTCTGCTGAGATTTCTGGTTTGGTTCTGGTTTCATTTCCAGCATCAGTGATGCAGTGAGGAAAGTTTGGGCCTAAATCCCAATTTAGAGTAAAAATCTAGGAAATGCATTTCACTGTTCAGGGAGATGGAAGAAACACCTCAAACTTCGTGTGTTGGCCCCTGAGGTTTCCAAGCCTGTCCACTGGATACCACCTCCTTCCAGGCTATACTCGGGACGCACTTGGAAAGGTGAAGTCTTTTCACCTCTTTCCTGAGACCCATCACTCCCAGCAGCCTGCACACACGGACTGATGCAGGGCAGCCACCCAGGTGGGACACGAGGGAAACCTGCTCCTTGGAGGCTGGCACAGGGAAGACCTTGGTGTCTGAAAGGAACCACTTGTATTCTGCTGGCTTGAAAGGTGAAGGTATAAGGAGAAGGAACAGGTTCACTCCTAAATGCTCAGTATCTCCGCAGCAGGCATTGGTGTTAGCAGCTCACAGGGACACACTATCTTAAGGGGACACCACCATTAGTTTTATTTATCATGGGGGCAAATTCTTTGCTCTCCGCTAAGACAGAGACGTGGGGGCAGGCCGGGGCAGCGCCAATCTAGGTAAGAGACGCTGTGCAGGGGGTGCAGCCTTCTCGGTGCCACCATCCCGGCCTTCGCGGGGAGCCCAGG